ATTTAAATCAACTGCTTCTCTGTGTGCTCTCCCACACATTATATTGTGTCTCTAATGATAAACTTCATACCTATTTTTACAGTTCTTGCCTCCTTGAGAAATTCATTTTTCAAACAGAACAAGAGCCAGGGGGACTTTGCTTCTAGCTTCTAGCCATTCTCCTACATACCCACTTGTGGTCTGGTAGCTAGGATTCCTGATTTTTTACCCAGGCTACCCAAATTCAATTCCTAGGTAGGGAACTAAGATTCTGCTTCAAATTGCTGCTCTCTGCTATCTCCCAAGATCAGGCCCAGCTCACCTGGGAGCCATGTTGAGCTGGGTGAGCTCAGTACCTAGCTCCTGTCAGCTCCTGAATTATCTTTAATCTCTGGACTCAAGGTTATCATAGCTCTGCAGGTTTAATGACACCCATGCTTTTTCCATTCAGTACTTCTGCTTGCTTTGTTATCCACAGGAGGATCATGGTTTGAGGGGTAGCAGCCAGGCACACATGAATCACTTGGCCTCTCTGGGGACGAACATCAAGAGAAAGACAAACAGGACACAGAGACCCCTGAGAGTGCTCCTCACTTGAGGAGAAACCAGCCTGAGTCTTCTGTCTCCTCCTCTGCAATCTCTCTGGGACAGCTGCCCCCCCACCCCCACCTGCTGTTAGACCTGGCAGCCCAGCCCCATCTGCCACCCTGGGGCCTGAGGGAGAGGAGACCGAAGTACAAGGAAGGCTGAGATGGCCTTGGAGGAAATGAAGAAAAAGATAGAAAGGGGATGGTCCTGATTAAGTTCAGTTCAGTTCAGTCACTCAGTCGTATCCAACTCTTTGCGACCCCATAGACTGCAGCACGCCAGGCCTCCCTGTCCATCACCAACTCCCGGAGTTTACTCGAACTCATGTCCATAGAGTCAGTGATGCCATCCAACCATGTCATCCTCTGTCGTCCCCTTCTCCTCCCACCTTCAATTTTTCCCAGTATCAGGGTCTTTTCCAGAGTTGGCTGTTCACATCACATGGCCAAAGTATTGGAATTTCAGCATCAGTCTTTCCAATGAATATTCAGAGTTTATTTCCTTTAGGATTGAGAGGTTTGATCTCCTTATATAACATGAGAGAAAAAGGCAGGGCACAACTTTTGAAAGAATGACATTACACAAGCATATAACATACATTGACTAGAATCAAATGGGACCAAGATGGCAGACAAGACTAGACCTTGATCCTAAACCAGCAAGTGAAATGACACACCCAGAGGTGCCATGAGACTTCCAAGTCACTGTCAAAAGACCATGGAGTGGGCGGTGGCCCAAATCCTGGAAACTTCTGCCCCTTCCCCAAAACAGTTGGAATAATCCTCCTACTCATCAGCATATGAAATTACCCAGCTTATAAAAACTAACCAAGCTACATTTCACTGCTGCACTCACCCTCTGCAATGGTCCACACTCTGTGGAGTGTGTTTTCATCTGTATCTGAATAAAACCACTTTTTACCTATCACCTTGTCTCTCACTGAATTCTTCCTACGATGAGACATCAAGAACCTGAGCTTCATTAGGTCCTAAAACCAGGCACCGTGGGTTTTGACTGGGCTCCAGTCCCAGTCACGTGGGTTCAAGTCCCAATCTGTGGTAAACAGTTTCACTTGGAGTCCAAGGGACTCGCAAGAGTCTTTTCCAGCACCACAACTCAAATGCATCAATTCTTGGGTGCTCAGTCTTCTTTACGGTCTCTCACATCCATACATGACTACTTGAAAAGCCATAGCTTTTGACTTACGGACCTTTGTCAGCAAAGCGATGTCTCAGCTTTTTATACTCTGTTTTGGGCTGTCCTCTTGAAGAAAGTGAAAAAACTGTCTCAGCTTTTTATACTCTGTCTTGGGCTGTCCTCTTGAAGAACATGAAAAAACATTCAAAAAACGAAATCATGGCATCTGGTCCCATCACTTCATGGCAAATAGATGGGGAAATAATGGAAACGGTAAGAGACTTTATTTTCTTGGGCTAAAAAAATCACTGCAGATGGTGACTGCAGCCATGAAATTAAAAGACGCTTGCTCCTTGGAAGAAGCTATGACCAACTTAGATAGCACATTAAAAAGCAGAGACATTATCTTGCCAACAGAGGTCCATCTAGTCAAAGCTATGGTTTTCCCAATAGTCATGTATGGATGTGAGAGTTGAACCATCAAGAAAGTTGAGCGCTGAAGAATTGATGGTTTTGAACTGTGATGTTGGAAAAGACTCTTGAGAGTCCCTTGGACTGCAAGGAGATCAAAGCAGTCAATCCTAAAGGAAATCGGTTCTCAGTATTCATTGGAAGAACCGATACTGAAGCTGAAACTCCAATAATTTGGCCACCTGATGCAAAGACCTGACTCACTGGAAAAGACCTTGATGTTAGGAAAGATTGAAGGCAGGAGAAGGGGATGACAGAGGATGAGATGGTTAGACGGCATCATCAACTCAATGGACATGAGTCTGAGTAAGCTCCTGGAGTTGGTGGACAGGGAAGCTTGGCACGCTGCAGTCCATGGGGTCACAAAGAGTCAGACACAACTGAGCGACTAAATTGAACTGAACAAGGTCTGTCATTACTTTCCCTAAAGGAACAAGCATCTTTTAATTTCGCTAAACATGGGCTCCATTCCACCCCAACTAGGTGTGTGGCCTTGGCCAAAGGAACCTCTCTGTGCCATTTCCATGTCTGTAAAATCAGAGCATTAATTACTACCCATGATCTTTTTGAGGATTAAATGAGTTAATTTTAATTGTGGAGCATAAAAACAATGCACTTGGTAAGCAACTGTTTAGTGCCAAGACCAAAATACACCTGGCCCTGTTGTGTCAGGTGAGATAGAGCGCCTTGCAAATCATGGACAACGACCATGTCCCTAACCCAGAACAACATTAAATAATCCATCTAAGAGAATGTGGGAAGACGAAACTAGCTCTACAAGAATCTACAAGGTTAAAATGAATGTCTGAACACTGGTTCCCTTGAGTTCAGTTCAGTTGTCACTCAGTCATGTCTGACTCCTTGCGACCCCATGGACTACAGCATACGAGGCTTCCCTGTCCATCACCAACTCCCGGAGTCCATTGAGTCGGTGATGCCATCCAACCATCTCATCCTCTGTTGTCCCCTTCTCCTCCTGCCCTCAGTCTTTCCCAGCATCAGGGTCTTTTCAAATGAGTCAGCTCTTTGCATCAGGTGGCCAAAGTATTGGAGTTTCAGCTTCAACATCCCTTAGCACAAAGAAAATTCCTGAGCCCAGTAGGGAGGCCAGAGTTGCTCCCTCAGTGACCTGGTTACACCCCCTTCTCCACAGCTCATCCACCTGGTGTGACGCTCAAGGGTGGTTACTGTCAACAAAGTCACCTAGCCCAGGGTTTTCAAACCCACTAATGAAATCAAGTTGATGGGTCACAAGCAGCATTAAAAAAAAAAGTGGGTAACAGAAACTCTCAGGAATAGTTTCAGGAAAGTTTGCCATTTATGTGTGGGTGTTCTGAGTGGCAGTGTAAAAGCCATTCTCACGCTCCATGTGCTACTGCCAGAGTTGATCCAGCTGTCAGCTCGGATGTCCAGGAAATGGCGCCTGGGCCAGCAGAGGGCGCCCACACAACATACCCACTGCAGGAGGGGAGGCCCCGTTCTCTCAGGCCTGGAGGGGCCACAGCCCACCTCCATAGAGATTAGCAGTAGGGGTCCTCTCCACCTCCAAGCCTGGTCTTTCACACCAGGGCCCCTCCTCAGCTCTCCTATGCCTCCCCCGCCCCGCTCTTGTCTTCCTGTCATCTGCTTTTCTTCCTCCAATGGATTTACTTCCTCTCTGTGCAGCCCCTTCCTTCAGTCCTCATTCTTTTCCTTTCTTCCTCCACCCTTCACCTCCCTTTTCCATTCCCACCTCCCTTTCCAGGACACATAAACACACAGTTTTTCAGACAATTCAGCCTTTATTTTTGAAAATAATTCTCTAGCTTAAACTTTCCTCCATGAACTGAGGTCAGGCAAGAACAAAAACACACACGCTGCTCTCCAGCCCACCCGCCTACCGATCTGCATGCCCGGGGAAGTCTGGGAGAGAAGAAGGAGGCTGGGCTGAATGGTCTTGGCTGCCGTACCTCACACTGAGAGGGCCTCCAGAAGGCAGGCTAACATGAACTGTCCTAGAGCAACAGGGAAAGGACTGGTTTTTGGAAAGGACTGGACGGAGAGGTGGGAGGGGCAGTGTTTCTAAGAGGAAGAATGAGGGAGGGGTGCCCCAGCATCCAAGGCTTTCTCCCCACCACAGCAGATGAGCTGAGGGAATGTTCTGCTTTTCCCCTTCCCCACTTCATCTTAGAATCATGAATGGCTGGGCTGCATAGAAAGAAGAGCTGAGAGGAGGTCAGAGATGAAGGAGAGGGGAAGAAGAGAAATACAGGCAGGAGGCAGTAAACCCTGACAACCTAACAGCTCTATCCAGACCCTGACGATGATGAAACCCCTTTGGTTAGTCTCATTCTGGCACAGATACAAGCCCTTCTCACATAATCCAGCCTCCTACCCCTACTCCAATTGGGAGAAAGCAGAGATGGCCGAGGACAGGTACAGGGGGAGGGCTCATACTCTGGCTAGAAGAGCCAGGACAGGGAAAAGAGGCCTGATCAAGAGAACTAAAGTTGCCAACCTCTCCGCTGATGTCCTAGAATGCCTGGAATGTGGACGTGTGTGGCCATGACAAGCCCAAGTCCCTCCTACCACACAGTGGTTTCTTGCTTAATAACTCCCCCAACATATCCCGGAAAGAGTCCCCTGATTTGACCCCCTTGAGAATGAGAGAATAACCCTCACCTTAACATCTGTGCACTTGAATGCCACTCGGAAAAAGAAAAAAAAAAAAAGATAAATGGACCCAAGAGAGAAACACAGAGAGGACGATGAAGTCCAGGGACTGCGGTCCCATCTTAGGCCATGAGATGCCAAGGAGGGGGCCCACGACGGACACACAGGCGCTGCTAATTCCAGCTAGGATCATAACCCTCCCAGGTCTGGGGTGGGGCCAGGTGGACACGGCGGCCCCGGTACAGGAAGCTGACAACGCCGCGGTAGCCGGCCCTGGGGACCCCAGACTTGAGGTCATCCATGACTCCCAGGGCCTTGGCAAAGGCCTTGAAGCTGTCCCTGCTCGTGTACTGCACTCGCACCTCCTGCAGCTCGCTCCGCTCACTGGTCCTCACTTTCTCCACCTGCAGCAGGGGAGCACCATAGACACGTGCAAGGAAATCCCTGTCGTAGGTCTCCTGTCGCAGGTACGACAGGTCCAGCTGGGTGAAGGGCACGAAGTGCTGGTTCAGCTTGATAAACTTGAGGTGCTGGTCAAAGAACTGCCCGTGGCTCACACCTTTGCGGCCAAAGGTCATTGTTCTGGAGATTTCGGGCCGCACGCAGGCCCGGCCCTGCCGCTGCTCTGGCCGGCGCATCCAGTCGTCCCAAAAGGCCTTGGGCCACTTGGGCTCCAGCTCAGCCCAGAGTTCAGCCAACAGCAGCCAGCCCAGGCCAGGGAAAAAGTCTGTGCGGTAGAGCAGCTCGGGCTTGCCGGAGTCCACCATCTGCTCCTTGCCATTGTCGTTCCAGGCAGACACACACCAGAGGGAGGGGTCGGCCCTCAGCAGTGGGTAAGTGGCCTGAAAGTACTCGAAGAAGTCTGGAGCCACCTCCAGATCATCCTCTACCACCACGGCTGCCGGGAACTTGAACTCGTGAAAGACCTGGCCCAGCGCCCAGCGGTAGTGCCGAGCAATCTTGTAGTAGCCCTGGAACTTTCGGTGGTCAGGTGGCACTGCAATGGTGCTCAGGTCGGGCTGCCGGATGTGCATGACAGCGTTGCCGTAGGAGGCGATAACCTGGGCTGTCTCCTCATGACCGCAGTCCTGGCTGACGATGATGGGAAAGCGTTCAGCTGAAGGCCGGTAATTCAGCAGCTTGTCCAGGCAGCGCCGAACAGTGCTGCGGTCACAGGCGATGACCAGGATGGGGATTACAGCTGGTGGAGTGGTCACAGGCACTCGCGGCGGGACAGGCGGGGCCACGGTGGGTACCCTCCACCGCTGGCTCCACCTAGCATGGTGCTCCCTGATCTGCTGCAACAGGCCCCGCTGCCGCTCCAACTCCACCTCGGCGTCCTGGGCCAGGCGGATCACCTCTCGGGTGAGGCTGGCGGGGTCATCATCAAGAGCACTGTCTGAGGGTAGCCTGCCAGGCGCTGGGCGTGTCCAAAAGAAGAGGAGCAGCAGGGCGTTCCAGGCCACAAAGAGGATGGCGCCCCACAGCACAAGCCCTGCAGACTGCTTCTTCAGCATCCTGGCCCCCGCAGGGGAGGCGGGAAGAGCAGGGCTCAAGGCTGCCCTCAGCTTGCCTGGCTCACACCCCCACGGTTCCAGGGATGCTTCCTCTGGGCTCCGGGATTAGGAAGCAGCCATGAACCTGAGGAGAGGAGAAAAACAACCATCATCACAAGGTGCAGGGCTGCTCCAGAGTAGAAGGGGGGCAGAAATAGATGAGAAAGGTCAGGACAAGGAAGGCCAGGAGGTTAACTCCAGACCTCTCTTAGAAAAGAAGTACCCATCCCTAATTCAGAGGGTCAATCTGTATGGAAGAACAGGATTAGGATAGCATGCTCCCCGACTCCAAAATGAGTTTATGAATCCTCTAAAAAGAGATGTGGGTTTTTCTGAGGGGGGGAGTGGGGGAGCAGTATATGTAGAGAAGATGTTGGTGGAAGAGAGGAAGCAACGGAGCCCCACACACCCCTTCTCTACCTGACAGATTTTGTTTACCATCTTCCATCCAGAGCTTAGGAGAGGTGGGGGGTAAGACCATCTGCCTCCCATTCCTCAAATCAAACTGCCCAAAGATTACTGATTTTAAAATTCTTAATGTCACACCTCAGGACTAAAGCCAGCACCTTACCTAATAAGGAAGCACCAGAGGCATTCCCATGAAGGTCAGGGACCAGATCTACATGACTGTTTAACATTCTGTTGGAGGGATCAGCCAATGCAATTCGACTGTAGAATACAATTACAGGCAGAAGTACAAATGTGCTGCTGCTATGAGAATATGCCTGGAAAACTCTAAGAAAAACAATGACAAGTCCAACCTAAACAATCAAAAAATTGAGTCAGGTAGTAGCAGATAAAAATTAATGTGCAAATATCAATAGCCTTCATATCCACAAATAATAACTCATTAAATAAACAATGAATGAGAAAACCTTATTTATAATAGCTATGAAATGATATGAAATGTACGAAATGATACACTATTCAGGAATAAACAAGAAATATGCAAAAACCTACAGGAACTTATAATTCCTGAAAAGACAAAAGAGGACTTAAATATCCCTTGTTCTTGGTTAGGACACCTCAGCTTCATCAAAAATCTCAATAAAAGTAGTTTTTGTACAGCTAGTCAAACTGGCACTGAAGTTCAAACAGAACATCTATGAAAATGATGAAAATGAACAAGCTGTGAAGAGGGACTAGCCCTACCAGATATACTACACATGACAAAGCCTCTATCATTAAAAGTGTGTGATGCTGATCAGATCAAACCAGTGAATCCTAAAGGAAATCAACCCTGAATAGTCACTGGAAGCACTGAGGCTAAAGCTGAAACTCCAATACTTTTTCCACCTGATACAAAAAGCCAAGTCACTGGAAAAGATCCTGATGCTGGGAAAGACAGAAGTCAGGAGGAGAAGGAGATGACAGGATGAGATAGATGGTTGGATGGCATCACCAATTCAATGGACATGAGTTTAAGGAAGCTATGGGAGATGGTGGACAGGGAAGCCTAGTGTGTTGCAGTCCATGGAGGTTGCAAAGAGTCGGACACAACTGAGTGAATGAACAACATAATGCGGTGCTGATATGTAAACAGATCATTCAAGGAATAGAAATTAAAACAGATCATGCAAAGGAATAGAATTTCAACTACAGAAATAGACCCAAATACATGTAGAAATCTAATGTATGATAAAGAGGATAATTAGAATTACTGGGGCAAAAAAAAAGAATGGTCTTATTAATAGTGTTATAACAACTATACAGGTATTTGCGGACAAAAATAAGATCTGTATACAAGAATAAATTTCAAGGGGACTAGATATTTAAGTAGAAAACTAAAAACATACAAGTGCTAAAAGATTTATGTCAATTCCTCTATAGCTTAGTATAGGGAAGGGCTTTCTAAGTATGCCTTAAAATACAGATGTAATAAGAAATACAATACTTTTGCATGGCTAAAAATACCATGTGTGCTCAGTTGCTAAGGTGTGTCTGACTCTTTTCAACCCCATGGACTGTAGCCCACCAGGCTCCTCTCTCCATGGAATTTTCCAGGCAAGAATACTGGAGTGGGTTGCCATTTCCTTCTCCAAAAACACCATAAGCCAAGTCAAAAGACAAATAACAAACTGGAAGAGAATATTTGAAACACACATCACAAATAAAAAGCTGATACCCTAACAGACAAAAAACTTCTTAAAAACTGAGGGGAAAAAAAGCCAAAAATTCCCTGTCTAAAACACTAGCATAACTCACACAAAAAAGTACTAAAATGGCCCAAAGATGTATGAAAAGGTGTTCAATTTCACTTATGATAAGAAAAATTCTAATTAAAATTATACTAAGGTAACATTTCTCACCCATCAGACTAGCAAAAATAAAAAATTTGTCCGATTCTCATAACAGAATCAGTTTAAGAATAGAAGTTCTAATTTTGATGATTTCTAATTTTCAGTTTTGTTTTTTTTTTTATGAATCATGTTTTTGGTGTTGTATTTAAGAAATCTTTTGTAGCTATGAATGGCTCTGGATTGTTGTCTGCCAGATACTTCCTTTGTGTAAGTTACCCACAATAAACTTCATAACTGCAAAAAAAAAAAAAAAAAAATCTTTGTTAAAGTCACAGATTTTTTTCCTATGTTTTCTTTTTTATGTTTTACAGTTTTAAGTTTTACATTTACATTTATGATTCATTTTGAATTAGTTTTCATATATGGTGTGAGATTAAGAACTGAAGTCCTTTTAAAGGAGTTTGGCAGTTTGTCAAAATGCTAAACAGAGATACCATATGACCCAGCAAGTCCACTCCTACATATACACCCAAGAGAAATGAAAACAAATGTCTACACAAAAACCCATGTATTTATAATAGCCAGGACATGGAAGCAACCTAGATGTCCATCAGCAGACGAATGGATAAGGAAGCTGTGGTACATATACACCATGGAATATTACTCAGCCATTAAAAAGAATTCATTTGAATCAGTTCTAATGAGATGGATGAAACTGGAGCCCATTATACAGAGTGAAGTAAGCCAGAAAGATAAAGACCATTACAGTATACTAACACATATATATGGAATTTAGAAAGATGGTAATGATAACCCTATATGCAAAACAGAAAAAGAGACACAGATGTACAGAACAGACTTTTGGACTCTGTGGGAAAAGGCGAGGGTGGGATGTTTAGAGAGAACAGCATCGAAACACGTATACTATCAAGGGTGAAACAGATCACCAGCCCAGGTTGGATGCATGAGACAAGTGCTCGGGGCTGGTGCACTGGGAAGACCCAGAGGGATCGGGTGGAGAGGGAGGTGGGAGGGGGGATCAGGATGGGGAATACATGTAGATCCATGGCTTATTCACGTCAATGTATGGCAAAAACCACTACAATATTGTCAAGTAATTAGCCTCCAACTAATAAAAAAGAAAAAAAAGAAGAAAAAAACAATCCATGAAGAATGTTTGAGGGAGCTTTCCTCATAACAGCCCCAAAGTGGAAACAACCCAAACACCCATCAGCACTGGATACTGATAACTGCGGCTTATCCACGGAACGAAGTAACACTCAGCAATTAAAATGAAGCACAGAAAATAAATAAAATGAATGAAACAAACTACTGATACACACACACATAGACAAATCTCAAGATAATGTTGCAACATATGAAGGAATACATACAGATTAGTGTCTGCCTAGGAATGGAGGCAGTGAGACCATCAGGGGAGGTATTACTAGGAAACTTTGTGGGGGTGATAGTTTCATGGGCTGAATATATATGAACAAACTTATGAAAATGCACACTTTAAATACATAAGGTTTACTGTATATCATTTATACCTCAATAAAACTTTTAAAAAAGATATAAGAAAACGGAGCAAAATGTTAATAGGTGGATCTGAGTAAAGGGAATATGAGAATCTTTATACCATTTTTATTCTTGCAACTTTTTTATATTTTGAAGTTATTTGCAAATAAAATCAAACAGAGACACAGCCCACAGCTCTGACTAGCTTCGTCCAATATGGCTCCAGCTAGACACATCAAAAGAACTGGGGACGATCTATTTGTCCTGAACTCTTCAACCATTCCACAATCTGCCATGACGCCATGAGCTCTCTGCCAGGCTCTGGGAAGAGACTGGGACGCAGAGCCAACAAGAAAAAGGCATGGTCCTGCCAGGCCCCTCACTCTACCAGACCTCATTACTTAAAGGATCTACCACACCCTTCAATGCCAGGACAGCTGCCGTTCTTGACCATGCAACTTTCACCTTGGCATTCCTGCCTCTGGTCTCAACACTTCACACCCAAAAGCTGCAGGTCTGCACTCTCTTGTGCTAGCTGCTCTGCCAGCTACCCTCTGCCTCACAGCCCAGTTCACTAATGCTAACCAGAATCTCGGGTCCCAGATTTCATCTCTGTACTCCTGGGCTCTCAAGCAGGTCGATCCAGTATCCAAGGATCAAAGGGCTGATCTTTAAGGGTCTCTACAGGGAATGGATCCTGCCTCCCTCCTCTGAGACCCCTCCAGCCCCTGCAAGCACCACCTCCTCCTATCTTCCTTCCAGAAACCATCCACACTCACAACTCCGTAGCACCAGTCTTCTTAGAAGCCTCTGTTTTATTGTGTCATTAAATTTCCATTTTATCAGCACTGATTTACCAATCAGTGTTTCTCAGAAGAGAAACACACACAGATTCCCAGTTTTTTTTCCCTCTGCCTGAGGATGTTGTCAGTGTTGGGATCCCTAACCCTCCATGTCCTGCCTCCCAAGTGACTGTGTAGGAAAAGACTTCAGGCAGAAGGATGGGGGAAAAAAAAGAGAAACTGAACTCCATCATTTCAAGTGTTGGCTTCAGGGCTGGAGGAGCAGGCCTGTCTCAGACTTATCAATGAGCCACCTCAGGCCAAGAGGCTCTCAGAGTGGTGGCAAAACCCCAAGGGACCATATCCATCCTCACTCTTTTCCAGACATTAGAACTAGGCATCCCACACCCACTACCCCCAGGCCTAGAAGACCTCCCCACCACCCTACTAAGCCAGGCAGATCAAACCAATCTTCTCAGCCCCTCTGCAGACTGTACCCTTAGCTAGTCTATAAACCTTGTGAATGGCTAGACAGCCCATAGCAAACAGCTGCCCCAGTCCACCAGGCCTCCAACTTAGCACTCAGGCCTTTGTTCTCCACTCCACAACCCTTTCCTCTAAATTGTCAAACAGAACTTCCTTCTCTTGCCATCCGAGCACAGGACATAACTATTCCCAGGCCCACCCCTTTTCCACACAGACTCTCCCACAGTCCCAGTGCCATTTCCTACTACTTCTCCCCTTATTCTCCAGGGCACGATCCTCTTCTCTGCCTACAAGTCAGTGGTGTGTGAATACACAAACGCATGCACTCTCCAGGAGATGGCTGTGCCCATGGGATGAGACAGTCCATCTCTTGGCCAACAGAGCCCATGCACTCATCCGGGAAGCACTGCCGCTCCAAGTCCTCCCGGTGTGGAGGGCATGGCAGTGACAAGGGCAAGTCAGACAGCCCAGGGCAATGCTTGGGCATCACCCTGAGTCTTTTCACATTGCTGACACTCAATTTTCTCGCCTCTAAGATGGAAATGGTAGTAGAATACCTCATTGGGTTGCTTTGAGGATTGGCTGAGATAATTCACATTAAGTGTTTAGAACAGTGCCTGGCATGAACAAGGTAAGTGCTAGCCCATCACTTGTCTGTCTCCTGTCTTGGTGGTTCTCTCTGCACCACTCTACTAGAGTCCTTCCAGGGCCCAAACATCCAGGCCTGCCTCA